CTTAGTTTATGTGTTTATATGGCTTGGGTGTATTGGTAAGCAGCAGTAGCATCAGAGATGTTGCTCATCAAACTGCTTTGTTCTTTTATCTTTTACTTAAGTTACTTTCTCGTCTTTTGCTCTCGTTGAATTTTTCTAGGTCAAACATTCCAAGTAACATCACAGGARGCTACAAAGCTGAGTCTGGCATTCTCAAGGCCTCCACTACCTTCTGCTGAGGTGAGAGAAAGCCTTGACAGACTATGAAATTGCAGTGTGTGTGACAAGCTTCAGGTATTTCTTGGTTCACTTGACTAMATGGGCTATGTATTGTAGAACATAYTAACATAATCCAAGAATTGGCCAGAGARCTAATTTCTGTAAGCTAGGGAGACATACTAAATAGAAGTATTCTTATATTCTTTGACAGCTACAGCTGATCGCTGATTGAGACAGAATATTGRAGAATACAGACTTTAGGTCTAACAAAGAATATGCAGTATTTTTGCTATCAGTTGAGAGAAGTTTATCATACAGGTGTTGGGATGAGAGAAAAAAAAAAACCCTCCAATTCAGAATAATGATCTAAGTTACCRTTTCCTCTCTGATGCATGACCGCTACACCAGGGAGTGTTTTGGTACGAAATCGTGAGGCAGGTTAAGATGCATGCAGCTTGCTAACTTGCCTTTTTGTTCTGTATTTGTTTCTCAAACAGGGTGATGATTACTATTCTTCCCTTTTCCCAGAGCAGTCTGCAAGCCAGGGATTGTTTGTGAGGCTTTCTAAATGTGGTGCAGCCGTGTGCTACTATTGGGTGATCCTTTCGCCTCTCCATTTTCAGGATTGCCGGAAGCTGAGTGAAGATGTCCAAAATGCCATTCTTGCAGTTGCCACAGTGTACTACTGGCTCCCCAAGGGCCAAGGTGAGACAGTGACAAAAGGCAGTCACCACTGTATAGGATGGTGGCTCTTTCACCACCACTGTATAGAGAAACCCAGTATTTCATAGCCTAATATGAGGTCTGGTATCAGCAAGTTTTCATTTGCATGTTATCCCATTATCAGCCATTCTGTAGACTTTGAACATGTTTATGAGTGAACTACTCTTATGTCTGTCTACTGCTGCAGTTTTCCATCTGTGAGAGAGTGAAAATGTATGAAGTTGCATAGTTGATTAGGCATTGGTGCTTCTGAAGTGTTGAAATCCTGGTCTAGTTTCTTCTGGAAGTGGGAAACATTTTGCTTTCTTCAAAATACCTGGAACTTCATTTATACAGTGTATCCACACAAACAGAGCAGTCTGTCTATTTCCAGCATTTGCTTTCTGTCAGTGCTGACTTTGAGGCAACTTTCTTGCTCTTTCTCAATCTCAACCAGGTACTACTCTTCGGAAGATGGTACGAGATGCTACCACTGAAGTTGTGGAAGGGATGATTCAACTCACAGACACAATTCTCAATGCTCCAATGGAGAGGTTGTAATTTTCAATTGCATGATTCTATGATTTTGTGTTAAGTTTTGGGAAAGAAGGGAAGAAAAAGTTACAAGTTTAATTGTTAGGAAGCAGCAGRGGCTTTACACAGACATGGCATACTAATGACAAGCTGGTTGGTGACATCTTTGCAGCCGAACTTTCATTCATGTGCATCATCTTTGGTACAGAAAATTAAAAYACAGTCTAACACAGTGGTGTTATTGACTCTAATTTTGGGGGTTTTGTTTTGTTTCAGCTTGTCTCAGGAACAGCTTATATCAACTGGAGGTGTGTGGGAGGCCTGTGAGCAAGTGTCTAACCTGCCACGAGGTGAGTGCTGTTAGTGCAGAGCAACAGAACTAGGACGTATTGTCTTGGAATATTGGATTTGCAAGGGCATTCCAGCTGGTACAGTGAAGGCTGAATGGAAAATGACTCAAAAACTTGACTGGTTTTGAAATGTATAAGCTCGGAAACCAGGTCAGATTCTTTGCAGTACAGCTCTGAGCTCTGCAAAAAGTTTGATCCTACAATGATTGCAGACCTAGATGAAGGTTKTTGCAAACTTTTTGGAAACAGTGGGGTGCCAATGCTGGTTTTCATCTTTTTGCTTTTGCAGATAACCAAGCAGCAGTTGTGTCGKCCCTGGCTGCATGTCTAGGTGTGGTCAAGGATGCTGTGGAGGAGATGGAACATGTAAGGGAGCCCCTAAACCTTAGAGGAACCTGTAGTGGTGGATTCATAGATTCAGAATATTYTGAATTGGAAGGGGTACACAAGGATCATCAAATCCAACTCCTGGSCCTGCACAGGATAAACCCCAACAATCCCACCGTGTGCCTGAGAGTGGTGTCCAAATAATCYTTGAAATCTGGCATGTTTGGGGCTGTGACCATTTCTCTGGGGAGCCTGTTCCAGTGYGAAGCCACCCTCTATGATGGTTCACTGAAGGAACACAGGGATTATTTTGCATACGGACATTAATATAATTTGTTCTGACATGACCTAGATTATTGCTTTAGCATGCATTTTAACGAGTTTTTGTTCTCAAGCCTGGTTTATTTTATAAGATTTCCATAAAGCCTTGTCCTGAACTGGGGAGGAGGGAGGCACTTTAGATTCATGTAAGAGTTGCAGTATTCACCAGGTTYTTGCTGCTTCCACTGTTGAGTTAGAATGGTGGATTAGTTTTTCTTARTGGAGTCTTTTTAGGATTAACCAACTGAGATTCTTCCATGAATTATTTGTAAAGCAAATTTATGCTTTCCCTTTCCTCCTGGGTATTGCTGGAATTGATAATAGGCTTTGGGATTTTCAGTGCCTCTGTGTTCTCAGGCACTGGTGGAAGGGCAGGATCCCTATGGGGACATCATGGAAGATGAAGAGCTGGGCTTTCGGGGCAACAGAGACACGTATTGGTCAGAGGCTGATCGGCAGCTGCTCAGCTCCTGCATGGGATTAATGAAGGCTTCCAAAGCTTGCCTGAAGAAGGTCTTGGCTGCAGTGAAGGCCCATGGCAAAGCTGAATCTCCAGAGCAGATTGCTCAGCTGGATGACCTGGCAGACATTGCTAATGAGATCAGTCCGAGGTAAGCAGGGTTCTCCCCGTGCTGGTTTTCACTCTAGAGCAGTCCTGGTCTTTCTTCAGGTCTAGAGTGAGGATTGGGAACAACCTTTATGATACTGGAACTGTGAGCTAGTGGTAGACACAGATGTGGTGAGAAGACTGTTACAGCATAAACTCTTGAGAGCTGTGTRTGTCAGGAGAGGAACATACACTGCAGTTTGTGCCACACCTCACTATGGTGAGAGGGGCACACAGGTGACTGAGAAGTGGGAAACATCCAGTGGATACAACTGACATGTCACTGTTGTTCCTGATCTGCATTCAGGGTGGGTGCAGGCTTTGACAAGGATCTGAGTTGTGCTATCAGAACCTTTCTTCCATTGCTGCCCTCTTCTGTTCTAGTGTTGATGAGCTGGCMCTGAGCATGTACCCACCTGTGAACCCCTTGGCTGTGCGACTTAATGTGAGTATCTGCAGTGCTGATACCTCATTRTCTGAGTATCTACACGTGGGACAGTGGTCTGGCTGTAGAGAATGGGAAGAAACCAGATTGAAGGGGTTATGTGACTGTCAGGGAGGGTGTTAGTGACTGTCAGATGGGTGTTAGTGACTGCCTCAGTCATAATTTCTGGGGGATGAAGAGTACCTCTCGTTCTTGCACACTTCCTTCAGGTAGAAATACATTCATCATCTGTACTTCTTCAGGGAAGAGCATGGCCACTTGAAGCTTTAGCTCTCAAGTGTAATCCGTAGAAATTCCAGTGACAGAACCTCAGGAAAGTGAGGTCTAAGGCTGCTTTTGTACTGCAGATGTACTTTTCTTCCTTGGGTAATGCAGGCTTGCTCAAATAAAGTTCTCTAAATTAAAAATATAGAAAAACTCTTACCCTGAATGTATTTAGGCACTGAAACAACCTGCTCAGAGTAGCAGTAGCATCTGCATCTTTGGCAACACTGAAAACGTGACAATGCTCTAACAACGTGACTGAACTTTGAGACATCCCTTGCATCATAATTAAGTACAAATTTCCTTATGTCTGAGTTTTTTATTCTCAAACCTGGTTTCCTGCCTTTGGCCAGTGCATTGATTTTTTTGGAATAAAAAATAATTACTTAATATCAAATTATGCTAAAGTCAGTCACTTGTAACTTTGTACTTTAATATCAGTTACCAATTTCTAATAGGCTTACCCTTTTTTAAAAAAAAGCATTTTAATGTATGCTTTAAAAACCAGCCTGTTTTTTTTTTCACCTGTCCCAGCCAGCAGTAGTTTGGGAGACACTTGCAGCATGGCAGTGACAGATAGCTTCATTCTGCAGCAGGATTGGTAGCAGTTTTATTCATTCTGGGCTCTTGGGCATTCCTGTATTCCTCTTTCTTTTCCAATGCTGTTAAGACCCTACTTTTCCTCACATTTGGCTCACCTTATTTCCCTTTTTTTTCTTTCTAGGCTGCTAAGTTGGCCTCAGTGTTAAAGAAAGTCTTAGAGATTGCAAAGTGAGTATGAGCTACAGTTTTATAAGTGTGTGTTCTGTGCTATGAAGGTTGATACCTTTCTGCCTCATGTCAAAGATGACTCATTTTTTGATAGTAGATGCTGGTATTTTGGAATAGTTATGATGTTATCTAGTCACAAAGGGATGGGAGTAAGGAAGGATGGAGGTGGTTCCCATTGAAAACACATGCATTTGTGTTAAGGTTTGGGACGACAGATGCGGATGTGGGTTCTTGCTTGCTCAAAGCCCTCTAGGGTTAGAGCAGCCCTCTTTTAATGCTGTGGTTATTCAGCACTTCACAATCCCCACGTGTTGCCTGGATGCATAGGTACAGCACACCCAGGAGGCTTCCCTAATGAATTTCCTCCACTCTTGCAGGACAAGCCATGTATGTCCACCATCAGAGGACAGCTGGGTGCAGTTTCTAACTGGTGCAGTAGATCACAACATGAACAAAGTCAAGAACTTTACACAGGGTCAACTTTAGCTCTTCTGTGCCTACGTGTGTTGCTGCCATTGGCTTTGGCATCTGCATTTCCAATGAACTTTGCTGTTCTTCAGCTGTTTGGAAAATAATGAGAACAATATAGAAGAGAACTTTACTCCACTTGGAAAAACTTCAGGAAGTTCCTCTTTGCCATTGGAGAATGTGTCATCTTGCTTGGATTCTTGGGATAGTGTGATTCTGCATCTTAACGTGTCCCGTTCTTCAGACATTACAACTACTGTGGGGTTCAGAGACAAATAAAATATTGCTAGATTTACATTAGTTGCTTTATCTGTCTTCAGAGGGCCAAGGATATATATAACAAATGAAAGGGTCTTGCTTCTTTTGCAAGCAGCCCAGTGAATAATTATAAACTGTGCTGCACTGCTGCTATTTCCTGTCTAGTCTTGGGGAGCAGTGAACAAGCTTTCTCTTTTTTATTTCCTYAGAAAGCGGCAGAAAATACTGCCTTACCAATGTCAAGGATCTGTAGGGGAAGAAAAGTATATCCCTAGAGACATGCTRTATCTCTCATCACTCTAAAGTTCCAGGATATCCTTTACTTTGTCACAGGTAGGGCAAAAGACTTAAGCACTGGTGAGTGCAGCACATGTGTGGTAAGAAATGCAACATCTGCTTGAGCATTCAGCCCATCTTTGTCACAGTGAGGTTCAGCTTCTAAAACTGGAGAGTGGACCTAGTGGCAGGTGGGAGAGAGTTGAGTTTGTACAAATAATCAAAATCAGGCATGGTTTTAAATATAACTTTTATTAAACTGTTAATATCTATGCTTGTTTAGGATCAGGGCACAGATCACGACCACTCTTTTGTAAGCAGGACAGCAGGACCTGTTCTGAGTTGGTCCTCAGGCAGCTGCCATGTTGGTAGTTCTGTAGCTCTTCAGGTTCTGGAGCTGGAGGCAGCTAAGACGTGCAGTGAGTCTTCCAGGCCCTGCTCGGGTGGGGGTGAATGGGATTTGCAGCTCCTGAGTGCTTTTAGCTTGCACAGAGCCCAACCTGAAAAGCAAGAAGGGATTATATAGGAATCACACCTCTTTGTGCTTTTGGTTTTCTGGGCCTAGGACATGCATTTGCTGRACAGGAATATGGTGCCAAAAAGAAGGAAAGAAAAGGAAAAAAAAAGAAGAATAGAAGAAAGCTGGCAGTTATCTACATTACCACAGTGAAATTGTCATCTAATAGTAGTTTGGGATGGAGATACAGCAGGAGAATTGAAACTCCCTACCCAGATGTCAAAAGGGGACTTTGTCCTAATGCACTTCTTGAGAGAAATGTGAGGTGTTTCATGTGAAGGGGAGCATGCCTATTAGAATGACTCTTAGCTAAGTCATATTTGCTTGGTTTTTCAGTAGAGAAGGGGAAGACACTGCTGTCTTTATTGTTTACAATGGGTAATGGGTGAAAAGATACAAACTATACAAACAGTATAGTTTTACTCCACTTAAGAATGTTCAAGTTGCTCACTAAAAATTGATTTTTCAACAGCAAGTAATTTCTAAATTTCATCACTTATTTCAGTGACCTCTAACTGTTGTATTATTTAATGTGTGTTTCTGACTAAGTCTTGTGGCATTTCTCTGGTTATACTTTTTGTTAGCAGGAGGTTTATTTCCTTTTGCTGTCTAGGCCTTTGGGTTGAAGCTTTCACAGATGCCATATTGGCTTCAAGTTATGTATTACACATCTATTGAAGTTCTCTTAGCTGACTTTTCTCCTTTTGTGTGAAAATCATCTGCATTTTCTGTAAATAAAAGATGGGATGCCTGGGGCTTTCATGCAATAGTAGTATCTTCCTGCCCTGTTGTTGCCTGGTTATTTTTGGGAACAGCTTTTCCTGTGCAAGGGTTTCTCTTGCTTGTATTGTGTCTCTTTATCCATTTGCTGTATTTAGGCCAGTCAATTTGCACTTACCTGTAATTCCKTTGTCTGTAAATGAGCCCTCGCCCTGTGACTGCTATCACACACTGCTCCAGGGGTTCRGTGAGAGGGTTATGGAGGCTGATCTTTGCTGTGCTTGGCTGGTACTGTACCATGTTTTCTGGAAACTGTTGAAAGAAGGAAATGAGCTGAAACTGAGAACAGGAAACAATTCTTCTGTAATTAAAGGGAGATGTATAATTTTTTGGTGCCAGCCTGTGCTGCCAGTTGCCAGAAGAGGCAAAGTCCAGCTTGATTTCTTCTGCTCTGGTTTCTCAGAGAGCCACTGAACCCAGCAGAATTGTTTTGCTGCTTATAACTATGAAAGCTGTTTTGTCTTTACTGCAGTGGCAGAATGACAGGCCAGTCCTACCTCAATGGTGAGAGGGGGATCACAAATACTGATCTCTTCTTGTGCCAGATATATGTAGAAAGAGTCCTCATCTCTCAGCACGGCAGTCAGCCTGAGCAGGTGGTTCTCTCCCAGCTCTTTTCCAAACCATGTGTGAGGCACRGAGACCTGCAGGTTTTGGACTGGAATAAAGTGGTGAGATAATGGATGATGAGTTCAGTCTGGTCTTTTCCTGCATGACACCATGTTCAGTGCTCAACCTTGTACTAAAGCTGSAGCATTTACATGATTAAATGACCCCAAGTGGATTTGCAGATTGAAAATCTCTGAGGTGATGTTGCCAAACTGTTTTATTTCACAGAATGGGTATGGTTGGAAGGGACAATAGTGGATCATCTGATCCAACCTCCCTGCCCRAGCARGGTCATCCCAGAGCACATGGCACAGGATTGTGTCCAATCAATTYTGAAATATCTCCAATTAGGGAGACTTCACAACCTCTCTGGGAAATTGCCTAGAATCAACTATTCAGCTAACCTTTTGTAAACCTACGGCTAAGAGCATTTTTCTGAAATGAGAACACTGGAGGACTTTTATAGCCATGCACCAGCAGAATGGATTACCTGTATTGCTTGGGAGGTTAAAATGAAACTCTTCCTTCCAAAGCTGGGCAATGGGCACACCATTATAATGCAGAGCCTGTATCCCAACTACCAGGTGAGTAGCCTTTTCTCCACCACTGTGGTTAAACACTTCAATGGAAAGTGTAATATCTTGTCCTAGTTGCAAAGAACTATTGGACTGGAGGTGCATGAAAAGGTTAACTGGCTCTTCAAGAACAGTAGGAATRGAGCTAAATTGTGCTGTGCTGCTGYTGGTTGTCTCAAGTTCCTTCATATTTCTGTAGGCTTTGTCAAGTACTTTTTTTTCCTGGAGAGAACCTGTCACAAGAAAAGGAAGCAATATTTTAGTATTCTTTCCTGTTTATTAATGAGAAGCAGCAGGAGAATGGCGTTGATTTCTCCTGGTAGTACTGTAGATAACTGTTTCTAAGAGCATAGAGAGATATCCTTTTATGCTTCTGGTTGGAGCAGTTAGATAGCTTCAGCTGACACAATATTCATTGGATGTACCTGACAAATTCTACTTGGGTAGAGTTTTCGTAGTTTTTAAAACACCTTGGTGCTAACGTCTCTCAGAGTAGAGGAGACTGCTTCTTTGATGCTTTAGCTAAGGCACAATTCCGTGTTATCATGTGCAGAGAAGTTGCAGTTGTCTCCTGCAGCTGAGGAGACAACATGCCACAGGTTAAGAGGGACTGGTAAGGTTGGGCCAGGGGAGCAGCACTCAGATTCTGAAAGGGGCACTACTTTTTGAGAGATTTAGGCAGTATCTGAGAGCACAACAGTCCTGTTCAGAAAGCTGGCACCTGAAATAAATGTAGCTATATTACAGAGGTAATAGAAGATGGATGTACAGAGTTAGAGATAACAGAAATCAGAAAACGTTTTCCAGACAGGCAAGTGCCTGGAGAAGAAACACATGGCCTTCTAGAGCCCTTAATCCGATTAAGCACGGTGAAGTTTGGGTGATGACCTCTGTTCTGGTTCTGTAGAYAGGGAAAATTAGGTTCTCATGCCACTGAAGAAGGTGAAGTAATGAGAAGTGGATGACCCTGGTGCTCTAGTTTGGCTCTGCTTTCATCTTTTCACCTGTAACAGTGTCAAGGAATGTGCTGAGCCTGGTGCCTGCCCCATACCTTCAGGATACTTGTAGTTTTGTGTGATGTCCTCACAGCGATCACTGCCAACACTCTTGGTGCTGATGTTGTTACCAGTGTATTTTGTGCCACCAAAAGCTGGCTTGAGGGTGTCATCAGCTTTGTGTATCCAGACCTGACACTTGGCATTGATGGCAGCAAAGAAGTAGCAGACATCGTAATCTACTTGTGTGTCCCCTTCCTTGATGGCATGAACAGGGGCTGGCCCACAGAAGGATGGACCTGAGGAGAAAATGTGGCCCAGTTAAGATTCAGATGCTTTCCCAACGAAACCCATCCCTAGTTTAGACCTATACTGGTGAAATATCTAGTTTAGGAGGACATTAGTAAGCAGTGACAGGATAGCTCTTAGAGCTACACAAGCTGCACAAACCAAACAGAGTCAACAGGGTGAGTGACTTYCTTTTGCATCCTTACATTGGAAGTTGGGAAAGGGAGGAATACTGAACTGCTTTATTTGTCCCTTGCTTTATTTCCCCCCTGCCCTTGCTCAAGCCYATCTCTGATATCTTACCTTTGCTCYTTTCCTGGCAGGTGGCATCCAGTGCCTGCCACCCACTGTACTCTGGTACCAGCAAGTCTGTCCGAGCCATCCAACATTCATTCCAAACATGGAAGGTCCTRCAAGRGRCAACAGCMCGAGCTCATACCAGGGCACTGGKCCCTGAGGTACAATAAAGCTTTTGSCAAACCACAGCCAGTTAATGCTCTTTTGAAAGAGCTCAGTGTATATTGAGGAGAGCAGGGRTCTGTTTGGAGAAACAAGTGGAGCTTCTCCAGCTGGACTGGGCTGTTGTTCTTCTTTGTGAGCTCTAGAAATAGGGCATTCTTCAGGTTTCAGGAATTTATCAAGACCAGGTCATGTAGACAGGATCTCAACTGAGCAGTCTCCTATCACCTCCCAGCAGCTGTTTTATCTCTTTTCACCCATGTTTCATTTCCTGCATCCAAGTGTTGTCTCAAATTCTTGCTTGGGCCCTGCCGTGTGTTCTTACCAGACACGAGCRCTCTTGTCCTGTGTAAGCAGTGTCCCATCTTCATCATAATAYTCATCCACACTCAGGCTGCTCTTGGTGTTGTGAGCCCACGTAAAGCCAGTAACCACCCTGGTAGGGATTCCCAGGCACCTCAGAACTGTGCAGAAGCAAGAGCTGTGAATCAGTTGTGTGTCCTGCTCTAAGGGTGCCTTTGCTGATAGATGTAGAGCCTTTTTTGGTGCTAGGMCTGTTAGGAATGGCACCAGGCCTGCTGTTTGGACTTTGCAAGAGGCATTGCTCCCTCAGGAAATAATATTTCATAGATGCATTTACTGAATGGATGTACTGATAATTTTATTTTGAAGGCAGTGATGCTGAGTGTTGACGAGGAGCCTAAGGGTCTGCCTCTGACCTAAACATTGAAGGTTTTATTGCTCGGATCTGTGCCAATGCAGGAATTTAGGYATATTCTAGATGTCCTGTTTTGCTTTGAACACCAAAGTCTTTGAAGCAGCACTGTACCTGAACACAGGACTGCAGCAAACACCCAGCACTGCCCATAGCGGACGGGCTGGCATTTTGATGCAATCCARTGGCGGAGGATCAGGCTGCTTCCCAGCCACTTGGAAGGGGGTATCCCATTAGGGTGTTGCCCAGGCTCACATTCTGTCAGGATTCTATCCTCATTGGAGTTCAGCTGCAGAGAAGGAGGARAGAAAAATGTATKAAGGAKTTTCCTCTCTTTGGTAGATCCACCTGTTTGTGGAAGCTGCTTCCAAAGCAGATGAAACCAAGAGCACATTTTTTGTGCAAAGCATGAAGGTCATGGCTGAGCAGAGCASGTGCAGCAGTCTCCTCTGAGATTTATTTAGTAAGTGCCTTTTCACTGCTAAGAACCTCCTGCTTGTCTGCTGAGGGAATATCAGGACAGGCTGGAGATGGGCAGGAGGTGCTATTTGGAACAGTCTTCCTCTTTGGTCAATGGTTTWGCCTGACCTGGGGTTGAGAAGCTGCTCCCTGCTCAGGTCAGGGCTGCTCTCTGCCCTCCTTACCATGGCAGCAACTGCACGGCAGACGTGGACGGGGTTCCTGCGCTGGGTGGGATCCTTTTCTCTTTGATAGAGTTCCCCTATAGCCAGCAGTGTGAAGCAGATGTCAACCATATCCTCCTCAAACTGAAATAAGAACACATMATTTCAGGAAATTCTCCATGAACTTTTGTTCTCTTGAGTTCCCTCCAAGGGTTTRTAACTGTGCAGATTGTTTCTCCCTTTCTGCTGGTAGTTTTAGGTAAGTGGGCTGTGAAGGAGAGCTCCAGGCAGAGATTTGGAGTGGGAGCTGAGGACAGACCTCCAACTTTRTTGAAGGTGGGAAATGCATCAGCATGGTAGTGTGTCCCCTGAYTGAGGGAAATTCATGCTTTTCTGGAGCATTCTCTAGGTTGGCACAGAAGTAGTTTTATGATCTGCTGGCACTAAAGTGGAATAGAATCCCATTCTAGTCATTGGTTGTRTCAGATCGCCTTGAACAAACAGACAGATCTACTTGTCCTCACTTTACCTGTTATATTGAGACAGTATTATTAAGCTCTGTTAAATGCTTTTACACATTGATTAAAGGAAGGTGCACAAAACTCAGATGCAGATCCATGCMTTTGTTTATAGAGGACAGCCTGAAAAGGAAGCTAAAATTACATTTACTGGATTGTGGGAGTTCATACACAGGTCCCTGTTCTCCTGCACGATCTTAGACACAGAGGTAGTGGGTGCATAGAACAGGGAAATGGATAGAACTCTTTGATCAGAGAATCCTGTATACACGAGATAGATGCACMCCCTTCCTCTGCTGGTGGCTGTAAGACAGAGCAGACCTATTGGACCTCTTGCTTACCTGACTGAAATCCCAGGGCTGGGCTAGGACTGCATTTTCATTCCCCTGGTAGATGACACCATCTTGGTTTAAAATGTACTCCTGCCGCTGTGCCTCATTAGCCAAGAACACCTCATCATCTACAATGGAGGAAAGAAAGCATCAGGAAGAAAGCATTCCTGCTCTCTGCATCTCYGTTCCATCAGCACCACAGACTCCACTGCACTTTAGCAGCTCATGGCATTCTGCCCTGAAAAACACCACAGTCTGTGAATCAGACAGGAAAGAAGAATTTCTTTGTCATCTCCAGTTCTTTGTCCAAAAAGTGCCTCCAGACCTGGGCTGCTGCACTGTCTTCTCTCCTGGCTGATGACTTCTAATYCTAGGAAAGATACAGTGGCTGTACTCAGACCAGTTACCATCTTGACTCATCCTAAAATCTCTGTTATAGGAAACACTTCATCAAACATTTTTCCCTTAGCAGAAGTCCAGGGCTCTGGCAGTGGAGCACTCCAGAGAAGGGACAGAAGTGCTAAGGCAGGAAACTTTGACATTTATGAGCCCCTACCTCTCCTAAGATGCCTTGAGGAGCAGGGCAGGAGTGGAAGGAGCACAGGGTGAGGTTGTGCCGTAGGTCCAAATCTGTTTTTATGAAGTGACTGATCCCAGCTTTGTTTCTGACCACCTACCTTGACACCAGGGATTAAAGAGAAGGATGAAGTTGCCCAGGTTGTAGGAGGATTTGGAGGCACGTAAAAACAGAGTGTACTGGCCGATGGGGGCATTGGCAGGTGTGTTCACACACAGGGTCCAGAAGTTYGGGTCCTGTTCCTCCACTGCTGCACTCCACTGCTTCTGGTCTCCCAGGCTGGAGATGGGAAWTTCAATCTGGATTTCATCTGCTCTGGAAGGATGTGATCCTGCAGCCAAAGAAATTTGGTCGTGTTTATTCAATTTTTTTTATTCCTCATCTGTGCATACTTGGAGGGACCTTGTCTACCTCTGGAGCCATAGGTCTCCATGTGAGAAGGTCTTAACCCTTTAGCAGCTTAATGCCTACTCAACCTCCCTAAGGTCAGTATTGCACTCAGGCCTCCAGGTTTGAAAGTGAGAKATGYTTTTCATAGATCTGTAGAAACCAGGAATGGCCAGAATAGTGCAGACCTGCTATTCCTGGAATTTAGTGTCTGGTAATAAAAGTCACAGCCAAGTGCTCACAATATGGTAAAACAAGCTGAGGCTGAAAGCTGCTGCCCTTCCCAGGGGTCTCACTAGAAAACACTCTGCAATTGAACAATCTGTACCAGGTCAGCTAGGTTTGAACATTCCTAACCCCAAAAGCCATAGGAGATCCCGTGAGTATTTTGAAATCATGGAATAGTGAGCTTGTACTGGTTATTGTGCTGCAGTGTTTCTCCTGGAAGGGGACGGGTTGTGACCCTGCAGCAGCAGGAGACTCTGCCTCAGATAAAGAGTTCACTGCCCTCACATCTAAATGTGAGCAACCCTGCCCAGCTCTGGAGATAGCTTTTGCCCCCAGCTCTGTTCTTCAGGTGGGTGGAGGAGCAGAGCTCTGGTAGGTTTGGTGATGGCATTACCTGTCTGGACGATGAGGAAGGTCCTCTTCATCTGCTKCATGTAGTTGTGTATTGGAGCTGAGAAGCTCACAGTGATGGTGAATGGCTGCCCCCGCCTCACCATGAGMCTGTCAGTGCTGATTTCTGCTGTGTGGTGGTTTTTGTTGTTCTCTGGGATCATGAAATCACATTTTTTGATGCTCAGACCTGTAGTGTGAGAAGATATAAAATGAGCTTAGGCTGTGACCTGCCAGCAGTCAGGCCCTGAGCCACATTCCAGGACACAGAAGCAGCTGATCGAGTGTTTCTCCACTCACTCTCCCCTTGCCTTTGAGACTTTCTGCCCCASTAGGGGCCTTCACACTTGGTTGTTGTGGTGTTGAGTGACTGTTGAGCTGTTGTCCTTTGCTTACACCTGACATTGTTAATAGTGCTGGTGCAAATTTCACTGCTGGTTCAAATGCAATCTTGCTGTGATCCAGCATGGCTGAATCGAGCACCAGTTAACAATCCCATAACTGGAAATGCAAGATACAGAAAAGCTTCTCCTTCTTCTCCTGCTACTCATCACTAAGGTCCTTGTTCCTTTAGGTTGTAACTGCTGCCCTTTAYATGGCACATGCTGTCACCTGACTCCTCTCACTGACCCCCGCTCCTCCCTCTGTTGCAGCTAAAAATAATAAAAGCTCATGGAGAATTCTTCTGCTATCTAAATTCATTGCTTCTCTGCTAAAGCCACAACTGCTCTCTTTAAGGATTTCATGGCCTGCTCTCTCTTGATGTTTTGTCCTGTCTTGTCCTCTGCATTGATACCTTCTCCCATTGTGAATGTCGCTTCTCTGTTTGTTGGGGAATCCCACGGGATTCTGTACTTTCTCTTTTTCCCATATAAATTTTTTCCATATGTTGTTTTCAGTGAATGATTCTRGTCTGGCTTTGAAATCCCTACATGGCTGTCCCAGTTCACAGCTCTGTACCAGCAGGCTTTTTAGAGCCAGCTCTGATCTCATATATTTTCTTCTCTATGATGAAGATGTCTGTTCTGGCTGTCTTGTAGAAGAGTGAGTGATGTGGAGTCTGGCCCCTTCTCCATCTTATGACTTTTCGTGGACCTTACTGTCACTTTAGTCAAGGTTGCCTGGAAGCTGTTCTGTTTCCCTGCTCCAGTGGCTCAAACATTTGGTCATCTCTCTGTTTCTGTTGTGTAGTCTGGTTTACCTCCCCTCACTCCCCATTCCCTATGCTGAAGGTATTTCATTCGTCTTTGCTTCCAAAGTCTCACCTGTCTGCCTTGGCTGCTTCTTGCTGCGTCTTGGGCATCGATCCCAGCTTTTGATTGCTGTGCCTTTCTGTGCAGTYTGCTGTGCAAACTGAGCTCCCTCAGCCTTTAGAGCACTTGGCTCCTGCCCTGTAAGCTCAGCTCTTCTGYGAGCCTCATGCACACTGTCTTGGAGCAAGAACAGTTGTCTCTTCCTAACAACAACCAGGCAAATGCTTGTAACTAACAAAAAAGATTTTTGCTTACCTTGGCCCATGGCTGGTTCCCTGCACCATGAAAGTCCTCAGCTTCTTCTTGCTCTGGTGGGATCCTTCCTCCAGCTTTCTTAAAGACTGTCCTCTTGCAAAGTTGTTTGCTTTATTCTTTGTACAGGGTGGGACATGGTGTTGCCACCTTTCCAGCTTATCTGGTGTGCAGATGTTGAGGACTCATTTTATCTCTCAGACCACACTGAAGACATGCTACAGATGAGGTAAAGCTCCACAGCAGGATGCAAAGCATTTAGAGACARCCACTGACAATTCCTTCAAGAAGCTGTGCAGTGGGGACACCAAGTAGGAAATGCAAATCTTAATGTGGCTCTAAACAATGCACAGAATGTACTTCAAATGTAAGCGTTGGAGAGCTGCTCTCCAGCATTAGCCCCAAGCTACTTAGATCCTAAACCCCTATTAAAAAAATAGTCAGTACATCCATTGGTCTTGTGCCTAATTCAGAAAAGTGGAACCACTTCAAAATGAGAAAATATGTTAAAAACAACAACTAAATTTGTGTACTTAATGCAGATTATTTAAAAATATTGCACTGGAGAATTGAACTAAATGCATTCTTAAAGTTGCTGTAATGTAAAAGGAACATCACTGGATTGATAATAATTGGCCAAAAGACAGGAAATGAGGCATCAGAAACTAACAGCTTTCACTGTGGAGTGAGTCACCRATAGCTTTGCAGAAACCTATGCTCTCCAACAAACTCAAGAATAATTTGAGAAGTCGATTACACAGCATAGTCCAGTGAGTTTTGTGTCTTAGTATTTCCATATTGCCCCATCAGCACTGCCTTGTAAAGTCTGTGCATACACACAGTACCATCTCTTGGTCAAATCGGCAACTGCAAGTGGATTTGCTACACAGGATGCACTTCCACTGCGAACAGACCCACTTATCATCCCTTTGTGTCTTTCATTACACTGAAATGGGCTAAAAAAAGCCCATGGAGAAGGTTAACACACAAAAGAGGCTTCTCCATGCAGTGCTCAAGTGCTTATGCTGGCATTCCATCTGGTGAGAATGGGCCCCCTGTCCCCAGGTTGTCCCTAGATCCAAGGCTGCCCGGTAAAAGTTGCAGAATCCAGCACTTGCCTTTGTTAAACTTTGTATGGTTGTTTTTGTCAGTTCTGTATCTACTGCATCCCTGACATGCTCGTAGAAATCTTAAGGAAAAGTAATCCATTAAAATCCTTGAAAGTATCCATCCCGCCTGGATATTACTCTGTAATTATCTTTATAGTGGAGATTCTTGTTTTACAGGCCCAAACATAAATCTGTAAGAACCTTTAAAAATAGAAAGTTAAACTTTTAAGTGAGAGTTTTGAATAACTGTCTCTTTCTGAATTGTCGTGATCAAAAAATGTATACACCCAAGTTTCCCTTTTATTGTGTCTACATTTCCAGATCTCAGGTGGCATACTCATTAATAGACAGGAATTTTCCKTTTGAGGGGAATTTCTTGTTGCTTTAGTGCAACAAAAACTGCTTTTGCTGTGCCTCTGGTTTTGTCTTTTATAGCGAGCAGTGCTCTCTACATTCAGTACAGGAGAGTGACAGACCAAGAGGWAAAGCAGTGAAGCTTTGGTGGCAGAACAAAGTGGTTTGGAACGACCAACTTTGGCTTTTTCTGGTTAATTTTCTTTTTAAAATCTGTATTGAGAAACTTAGATCAGAAGAAAGAATGGTGGGGAGAAACATTCACCACCCTGGAGGCTCATTTCAGTATCTTTCAAGACTGTATCAGCTCATGCTGACTCGATTTTTTTTTTTTTTTTAATGAGCAGACTGGAATAGGGGCTGGCTGGGTCAGCCTCTTGCCCGTGCTCACATTTAAACTGTATATTTATAATGAAAAATACTGACAATTAGCCTTATTTTTACTCCACCAACTCCCACTGACTTCTGACCAAGGGCTGTGTAAAGATTGCAGGTTTGACAAAAGCAATTTAAATCCTTCCTCAGGCCCTTACATGTTTTTCTCAGTAATGATCATTAGTGTAATTGAACAGTTGCCTTATGTCTCATGCAGGAAGAATGTGTTTCTCCTGCATGGCACCGGCCAGATCTGCATTTTCACACTCAAACTGAGCTGGGTGTGGTTGCTGAGGGCAGATGAAAATGCTGACACTGTGAAAACCCAACGAGTGTTGCAAAGCTTGGACTTGGCACAGGCTCAGCAGCGGTGATTCCCCTTTGAACTGCAGGTTTCCTGTACAGGTAGTTAATYAGGATGAGGTCATTCCAAGCTCGTGTGACAAACACTCTGTAAAATAATTGCCTGGATTGTATTTAAGAAKGAATACTGAAGGAATTTAAATGTTTTGCCTGTACCGTGTGTTAAATGTAATGTCAGTCTGCATTCTTGCAAAATTTAATGAGATTTTCTGAAATACCATCACTTCCTCAAGGCCTTTTCTGAGGTTAGTGGAGGATTGTATTCCCTGACTCTCCAAGGTCCTGCAAGACTTAATTGATAGGTGCAAAGCTACCTATTCCCCTCTCCTTTGCCTGGAGAAATCTGAATTCCTGTGTGTATGTGTGTGTGTGTGTCCTTTTCAACCTTCATTCCAGTCTCTCTGGGCTGACTAGTTTTACCAAGCTTCCATATCCACTCTAAGTATATGTGTGGGTGGCAAAATATTGTAATTGATGTAATAAAATAGGACTTCACATGTTTTGGAGATTTTGTTGGCTTTAAATCAAAGAAATTTAAAATGAGTCCTCCATTAATCTGTGTCATAGGGTCAGTTTGTGTGCATGGAACATCCTGGGGAAAGCTGGACCTGCATTGTTGGACAGTGCTGAGTGTCAGGAGGAAAAAATCAAATTGTCTCTTAGGAACATTCAGATCTTTGCTGTTGGCTTGTTAACTTTGCAGGGGATGAATGGGCACATTAGGGATTTAGATATGGGTGGCACAATGCCTCCCTCATGAATGATGATCTACTTTAAGCAGCTTTGTGGTATAAGGATGAGTGACTCCTAATTGTGAATTTTCATACGTCTTTCTGATGTCCTTCTTTTGCTGCTTTTGTACTTTTTGTAGCTTCTCATTTTTCCAGTCCAGTCATAAGAAGAGAGCTCTGTTGTAACACTGCCAGATCTTATTRCCATATTTTCCTCCTAGCAATAAGATTAAATGATAAATTTAATTCTAAAATTTATTTGTGTCAGCTATTTGGACAATATTTTGGCTTTTACTGAATAAAAGATATTTAGTGGATATAAGCCTGGAGAAGAGAGGGTTTCAGGGGCACGTTGTAGCCCCTTCCAGTTCCTAGAGGGGGCTTACAAGGAGGCTGGAGAGGGACTTTTCACAAGGTTATGGAGAGATTGGACAAAAGGGAATGGCCCTAAGCTGAAGGAGGRTAGGTGTAGATTGGATATTAGGAAGAAGTTCTTCCCTGGGAGSGKGGGGARGCCYKGGCACAGATTGCYCAGAGAAGCTGTGGCTGCCCCATCCTTGGAAATGTCCAAGGCCAAATTGGATGGAACTCGAGCAACCTGGGCTAGTGGAAGGTGTCCCTACCCATGGCAGGGAGCTGAAATAAGATGAGTTCTAAGATTTCTTTCAGCTCAAACCATTCTRTGATTCTGTCATAATTAAATTGCATTCCATGAGGCTTATAAAACCAGTGATTTTAAATCACATTCCTTGGAAATCCCGCTGCTATTGTTGCTACAGGCTCTGATGCTGAAAAGCATCACACTTGATCCTCTCCTTCAAGTTAAATTATATAATGATTTCCACTAGTAATTGTATATGTGAAGGCCTATAAAACTGGCTAGGGAATGAGAAAGGTGACATGTCTTTACAGTATAGTGTGTAGTACCTTTTTATTAGTTTCCATTCATATTGCATCGCTTTATTTTGGCTGAGTAATCTGCATTTCTGTGCTCCCAATCATAATAACGTATGAACACTGCACCAGCCTCATAAACAGGCAAAACTGAACTGTTGTACAGGTTATATCACTGAGCAGGAGCCACATCAAGCATCACAAATCCCTTAATGTTTGAAAAGTGGGTGCAAACCAAGTCCACCTGAAGCTGCCTGGTGCCACTCCTGTAGGGAATTATTTCAAATTGGACTGTTGAAGTCTCCATGGGGGCCATTCTTTCCACACTGAAAGAGAAAATGCATTTGTAAATTAAAGCAGCTGAAGAATTCTTGCTATATATTCTTCTGARTACCCAATTGTAAGACAATATGCCATCTCTCCACTCCCTGTGCATTCTGTAATTTAAAGCTTGGCAAAAGAAGTGTAAAAAACTCCAGCTGCTATGTGGAGAATATTGACATGATGGCATTTTGTCCAAGGTTGTTGGAAACCAAAGTCATGAGTGTGACAGAATCTTTATAAAAAACCCACTGGTATTTCAGATTTCCCACCAAAATGAACGAGTTACCAGCCACAAGTATTTACATACTGGATTCTGAGCTGCTCTTTGAGCAGGCCACTGCCTTCAGCTCTCAGGACACAGTGTGTCACCTCATCAGACAGAGGGTTGGTAAATGTGACCTCCACGTCGACAGGCTTGTGTACCACGGTTGGACCAAGGACCTACAGAGAAAAAACATCCTGCTCAACCACAGCATCAGTTTCACATCTTCCTTGTGCTTTTCTCTTTTCATTTCCACTGAAAAATCACTTGCCCTCTTAGGATCCCCKGGACAGGAAGGAACCAGGAATTAGTTCATGTGCATATTTTTGGGCAACAGAATTCAGCTTTGAATGAGCCATTCAGTGTGGCTGAGAAACAGCAAACTGCWGTAGAATCTACCCTTTAGTCCCTTTTTAAACTAGGTCAGTGCATGGTTTTATGTATAACACAGTATATGATAYTTGTCAGCATGAGAACAGAATGAGAATGTAAGTATTAGCTTGGCATGCTGGGGACATCTTGAGYTAAATCAGCTTTAACTAGGCTAAATGAAAGGTTTAGGATTGGAGAATATGGGAGGTGTGAGACAGAGGTGAATTGTGGTGTCTCAGAGAAAAGAATGCGAATTAGCARATAAACATATTCATTATCTTATTTTGGCTGAGGTAATGTGGAATTGGCATATCTGGTTGTCTTTGTAGATAATGTAATATTAGTTAACATAATCGAGAGGTCCATCAGCCTAATTGCATTTSTCTATTACTGTCTCCATGTTTATAGAGAAGTTTCAATCAGTAGAAACAGAAATGCTTCCTAAAACTTAATCACTGACTTGAAGAAATTTAATCCAGGTGCCTGCCCTAAATAAACTGACTTYGTTATTTGCATGGCACAGCACAGAGACTTTTTACCAAGTCTCACTAGAGCCTGATATTCAGAAATTGCCAGACCTGCAAAAAATCCACCCTTTTTAATCCTGTGTGTGACCTTGCTTTTCTTGTATGCTGCTGGCAGAGTGGTTTAGGACAGCTAATCTAGTCTGGAGACCCTGAAAGACTTCAAATTACCATATTCCCTGTATATTATTTACAGTGAGATGAGCAGATAGCAATTGTCCCCATTTAAATGTGCTGTYCAAAACCAGTTCAGCTCGTTTATGTGGATGTGATGGGCCATGCAAAGCCAGGTCTGCCCCTGGACAAACATAGTGCTGGATCTCTCCTGTAGACTTAGAACTGCTTTTTATTCATTGTACAACATTTGTCAGTCTAAACTGGAAATARAAAAAGCCTCCAGTTCTAATTAATCACCTGGGAAGATGTTGCAGGAGGTGAAAAAAGACGTTTTCCTGACATGGTTAAAGAACCTCCTTGAAYATTGGTAATAACAAGCCTCACAGCCACAGGCATTATCAGCTCGTCAGTGAAGATGTCTTTGCTAAAAATCAGTCTTCSTAAATAGGAAGATATTGATCAGGCTTTTCTAATAAAAGGGGAAATCTAAATATGGATGAGATTTCTTTGTCTGTCTGTATTCTTCTGCCTGTCCCTCCATAGGTAAACTTTCCTTGTAACTCTTGTAACACTGAGAACTTTTTCAATGCCATATTAACAAGCACTGACAAAAATATCACAGCACTGCTATGCCATGGAAAGATTTGCTTTTCTTTAGTGCATTTCATCTCACTTGTATCATATGACCCCTTCCTACAGCAATAAGATCCAATCACCCTCAGATGTGATTTCACTTCCCATACTCCTTCCATAAGGAATAGGCAGAGTAGAAATTGCAATTGTTTCCTCTCAACACATCTCTGAAGGGTCACAGAGGGTCACAGACTAGCTTTTACCTTGATGATGAGAAAAGGATCCTGAAGTACAATATCCTTCTCAACTAGGAGCGAGGCTCCCCGTTTGATTTGGCACACRGCAGTCACCAGGATCTTCCTGTCATCCATCAGATGGTTTTTGTACTGAGAATAGGAGATCTTGAAAGAAATCTGTTCCTCTGGAAGGGAAATGGAAACAGAATTTCCCTCTCTTTCCTGAATGCTAGCTATCTGCAAAATACCTGTTTTTTTTAAGGAGCAAAACTCTATCACCCTGGAGCTGCAAATTTGTGGCTGCTGACACCAATAGACAGGAAYGATGCTCATGGGTGACTTCTACTTACATTTACATGAAACACTAARTGATTAGGTACAGTTTGGTAGCTGGACAGACCCAAGGATAGATAATTTGGCAATCCCCTGAAGGTGWTTTTTTCATTATCTGAAGCTGGGCATTTATTGCTCCTTCCTTGCAAAGAGGRCAGAAGTGAGAAGGTGGGTTGGTTCAAATGCCCTTGCAGATGGACCTGTTCAGCCTCTGCCTTGCCAGTGAGGAAGGGAATGGATCTCAGTGCACTGAGAAAAGGAGCTTTTCTACTGYTGGAATGGGGAAAATAGTTCTAATGTGTTATGTATTAGCTTGAGAGGGTAGTTCTATTAATCTGTGCTACATGTCTCATTTTTCAGCACTGTCCCTATAAAAGCAGGACAAGGGACCACTCTCTGAAGTGGCACAGMTCTTCCTGCAGTTGGTGTTTGCTCTGCTGCTGCTGTGAAAATCGTAGGCTTGTCTTTTCCTCTTTAATCTGTCTTTATACTTTGCTTATGGGGATCTGGCAGCTCACTAATCTCCAGTGTATGTCTCTTAGTCGTTCTGTCTCTTACCAAAAATGTCATAATGGAGCACCAATAGTGGCTGTGATGGGTCAGAAAAAAGGTCACCCTGCTCAGTCCCCTTTTTGTCAGTGCCTGAAAGCAAATGCTTGAGACAGGGCAAATATGTGTATTTCTCTTCCCCTGGATAGCCTTGACCTCCAACTGTTTGCAGGCCATACCCTTCTTGAGCCATTCTTTATTTCCATGTGATTTGACCACAAACCAAAACTATGTCTTGTCCAGTAATAAAAGCTGTAATAAAATTAAAATTACCTTCTTCAGATCCAAGCTTGACAGACCTTTGCAACTGCAAAATCTCTGCCTTGGGTTTTCTGGTGTAGAGAATGGCTGAAGCCTTCAGTTTAACYTTTATGGTCTTGAAATCTGAGATCAAATTTCTGAGTGTCAGGGTGAGGGGGATGTCCTGGCCAATTACAGGAGATTCTTCAAGGATCAGTTTCCCTGAGATGGTGGGGGTTTGTGCAGAACGTGGTCTTGAAAATCTTCTTCTAGGTCTTGGAATTTTGGTTCTTTTCCCAGGTCTTCTCACACCAAGCAGCTTCAGTGCTTTCTTGTACACCTGCCTTTCTTTTGAGGATCCTGCTTTGAAAGATACCATGGTCAGAGATCTCATGCATGGACTGGATATWGGGCAGTGTGCCATGGTTGATCTCAGAAATTTAGGGAAGCTGAAAGGGCAAAGATTCTCAAGAGAAGAAGGTGAGGTCCAACATTAATGTGAATTTTGGCACAAAAGCAAATGAATGGACGTGGCCATGAAAGCTGGAAAGTAAAACCTGCACATCAGCTTCAGGTGGCTCTTCATGGGCASCTCTTAGAAGCTGTGGGCAGTACAAAGATAATTCCTGGGAAATCTTAGTTSTGTACAAGCTGGGGCAATTGCCATCTCCTCTGAAACTGAAGAGGGTGAAAAAACCCTTTTGCAGAAGTTCTCTCCAAACAGTTCTCCAGAATGGCTGTTGCTGCATGTCATAACTGAAATATTCTTTCCAGCTGGTCAGAACAGCTGGGACAAGAATGTTTTACCGAAATAGTTTCGACTCTGTATTGAATATATTAGTATTTCACCAAAGGCTATGAAGGCCATATTGTATCAATATCAGCAGATAAGGAGCCTTAAGACTTTGAAAATTCGCTATTACTTGCCTCTAGAAGAATTAAAGAAATCAGGTCAGTGCTCAGTCTAACAAAGGCCTACATTCTTTTCACATCTGATCATCTGTGGCAAAATTACTGTAATAAAGGATTTACCTTCTGGATATTTGTAATTATCAGTGACATCCACACGGGAGTTACTGCCCACTGCTTTGGTGCTGATAAATTTTCCAATCTTCCTGGTATCAGAAAAAATTCTCTCTTTTCTTTTCTTGCTATAGCGAATCCAAGTAACACAGTCAGCATTCACTGCTGCAAACACAAAKGGGCTGTCGTAATCCAGGTTCACATCCCCTTCTTTAATGGCTCTGGTGGAGGCAGGACCACACTGATAGATGCCTGTATTAGAGAAGTTAAACAACATAAATCCTCATGCTGACAGAAAGAGGGAGAGGCACTCTCTGCAAAAACACGTTTGGGAGAAGTTAAACAACATAAATCCTCATGCTGACAGCAAGAGGGAGAAGCACTCACTGCAAAGACACATTTGGGTCAAGTGCACTGTTTTCATGTCTGTGTAATATGGTAAGGGCATGTCCAGATATCCCACAAGCACTTTCTATCAAARGTGAGATTGCAGAGGAGGCTGTTAGGGAGAGCTAAAGGTTCTTATGATGTTCTCACTCTCCAAAGGCATGCAAAGCTGTCAGGTGAAAGGAGAGGAGAGGAGAGGAGAGGATGTGAGGGATGTGAGCTGAGTCAGAAGTACAGTCAGACTTARGAGATGAGAATCAACAGTGCTGTGTGTGCATTGAGATGAACCAGGGAACTAAATTTGTTAAACCTGGTAGTGGGGAGTGGACTGTGTGATGTTAGGAGCTAAAGACAAGCAAAAGTGAGATAAGGGAGGCAAATCCACATTTTGAAATTACAAAAAGGAAGAATTATTATGCTGGTCAGCAATCCAGAGGCTGACAGAAAAGCTCCCTACTGGAGACTGATGTGGATATTGCTTTTCTTGCACACCCAAATTAATGCTACATCTACAGGGAATATATAGAAGAGAATTCTTCTGACATTTCCATGATCTTTAGGAGTAATTATATCCGTAAGTTTTTGTATTTACAATAGTGTTACCTTTGCTTTTTTCCTGTGGTGTTGCATCTAGAACCTGCCATCCATCATAAAAAGAGCCAAGATCTCTTCTAATGAACCAGCTTTCATTCCAGACATGGAAATTCCTATAAGGGAGGTAGAATGCAGAATGCCTCATTCATATGATGCAAGAAATAACCCTAACTGAGTGAATGAAAAGTCCTCAGTGGAGACAGCAGCTGCTTTACTCCTTCCATGAGTACCTCTTTCCCCATTTTTGCCAGCTTTTTGTGTTTGGGTCTCTGAGAAATGTTTGGATGTTATGAAAAAGAAATGTTAAAAGGAAAACAATTCCTTACAGAGTCAATAATTCAATACTGGACATTCCAGAACAAAAAACCGAAGGTCAGGTGTGGGGTTTTRTATCTGGGAGCATGAGGTGGGGTGGTTTTTCAGGAGCATGATTCTACATCTTTTAATTATTGGGGAATATAATGGATGAAATACTAAAGAAATATGCATATTTACCACACACTGTCTTCAGTCAAGTCCAGGGTGTTTCCAGACATGTCAATGTACTTATCAATACTCAGATTTAGATTCTTGTCATGGGCAGAGTTGAAGTTTGTAATAACACGGGTTGGTATTCCCAAGCATCTCAGTACTGCAATAYAGAATACCACAAAAGTTCTTTAAAGCTCTTTTACAGACATTTAGAAAGTGTTTTTCTTGGTCAAACAGTCTTGTGTAGCYCTCAGAAATTTCCCTCCAGATATTATGCAAGTCACAGTCATTGTGCAATATTCCTTACAAGACACTTCCAACACTTCCACTGACATGACATTCTTAGGTGTCCTTTTCACTATTTATTTTAATCTTTGACTCTTCATTCTGTTCTCTCTCCCATTTTCTCTCTGTTTGCTCCTCTGTTTCTTGTTTCTTTTTCTTCTTACTGAGATGTACTTCTCAATTTTCCTTTGTATTTTCCCCAGAGAGACTCTTGTGTCTCAGGGCAGCTCTGACTGGATACTTCCAAGATGAAATGCTTTTCCTGACTTGCAACTCCCTTYACAGGTCCTCAGAATTGTGACTTGCTTTTGTGCCACCAGCAGGTAAGACACAGCACTAGAAAACTGGCACTAYGAGAAGATGGACTTAAAGAGCACTGCTTTTCTTTGAATTTTAGCTTTGAAACAGGAAGCCTGGCTCTTTTCACCAGCCCAGCCTGGAAAACCCCTTTGATTTTTGTGTGATTACTCACAAAGCTGGTGTGCATTATTACAACCTATAAACCGGAGAGATGAACCCTTCACTCAGAAATTCTTTACTCTCCATGTATGAAACAGCTTCCACATTGTTGTCCCAAAGTTCAGACTGCCCAATTGACAGTGAGCAGCCTCTCTGGTGTCATTTCCAGCCCTCCCTGTGTACCTGTGCAGGTGACTCCTGCAAAGACCCAGCACTGGCCGTAGCGGACGGGTCTGTACCTGGCCCGGTACCATTTCCKCAGGATGCTCACGCTCCCGCTCCATCGCAGGGGGTTCGTTCCTGAGCGGAACTTCCCACTCCACTTCCCTTCCACCACTCCTTTTTCATCRTTGCTGTTAACCTGAAAGAGTCCTTCTCATGAGAGAGTTAAAGTATTTACAGGAGAAGAGAGAGGGGAATAGTTAGAAGTGACCACTGTTCTCATTGACTGGGTGGTGGGACAGAGAATTCGAATCTTAGACAGAATTTTGTCTGCTCAAGTGTCACAGTTTGGATTAGATTGTAGTGTGATTCAAAACTGCCTTGTTTTCAGTACAAGTGATCCCAAATGTACTGACTGATACCTGTKTATGTTTTCTCTGTTTCATCTATTGATCTCACTTCTTGTGTGTCATTATACCGTTCGACTATACATTCAGTGCTGCTTCACATCCTCAAGTGATTTATATGGAAGCCTTGATCTTTTCTTTGAATGTGCATTTGTTGCAAATGTGCAGATAGCACTTACAGCTTGCCCAGACTTGTTGAATATGGTTGCATTTGTTTGTGCWCATCCATTGTAGAGCCCTGTTTAACTGTCATGTACCAACAGGATGCTGTAAGTTCTTTTWAAATTTATTTTTTGATTTATGTTGAAGATGAGAATGCCTAAAGTGAGTGCTGTCTAAAAGACTGGAAAATATATTTATAAAGGAGGAATCTCAGCCAAGGAATGGGATGAGGCATATATTATTTATATAATGGAAAGCTTTTCAGCTGCCTATTTGTGCATTTATATGTTTGTGAGGATGGGTGCTAAGAAGTTGTAACTATTTGTTGCAGGAAGTGCATAAAGGCCTCACTGAACAAATATCCCTTAAGTGAAAAATGCTGAATTCAGACATTAAATGCAGCTATACCAGCACCTATTTACCAAAATATTTCATGCTTCTCTTGGTGTTTGAAAAACCTAGCAAGTGATTTCAGAATAGACAAAGGCTTTCCAAATTAGTGAAAAGATCTAATGGACTGAAAATCTGTTAGGAAAATACATCTGAAGTTCAATGTTTCTTAATAAAAATATGCTTTCAGTCATGAGCAAACTCTTAGAAAGAAGAATGAATTWCCATTTTACCTGTTTTGTAGCTATTTTCTGCTTAGCTACACCTATAAAAGATTGAGGAATTCACACTCAAGCCAAGCCTGAGTGTGAATTGGGGTATTTTTGGTAGGTGCCTTTACAGCTGGAGCTGCTGGGTGACGTTACCATGGCACTGATAACCCTGCTCACATAGACAGGGCTGTTCCTCTTGGACACATCCACTGCTGGATCCTCRCGGTGGTTCAGGCTCCGGTCCAGGATAGCCAGAGAGATATCAAGGATGTCCTCCTCAAACTGAAATCAAAACAAGCAWTGTGTTAGAGKCTARTTKCATAAGTAAACCCAAGGATAAGCTCCCCACCTATTTTTCTTCTCTGAGCGTGAGAGGAAGATGCTGGGAATAGAGGCATTTYCTGTGCTGTTACARAAAATTGGGCCAAGAGGGAAACATRAGCATTAGGCTGCCAACTCTCTGTAGTATTTTAAAGATGTCTGTRAGCACAGTGTGGGGCCATGGCCACTGGCATTCACCAGAACATTATATGGCCTGGTGGCACAGACAGACCAGTGCAGGTCGGGCTCAGCAGAGGTCACACCTTCCCACATCCTGCCATGCCCCCTTCTGTTATGAAATCTTTCCTCTCATGGGCTGCCTCCACCTCATATCAGGTGATCTAAACCGAAAGAAACCCACAGAAACAATTATTGGGGATTAGGGTCAAAGGGACTTTGCGTTGGCCCAAGTGCAGGGCTGGATGGATGTGGATAGGAGAGGSTGGCCCTTGACCTCTGAGACAGAAAGGAACTCTGGCCCTGTTTCATTAATTAGTGTAAAAGCAGCCACAGTGATCAGCAACTGCTGGTGCAGCTGAAGTGGCCAGGGATGGTTCTGGCTGGCCTGAGGAGCTGCAGGATGGCTGCATGACTGCACAAGGGCTGCAGCTCTCACTGTGTTTGCAGCAGTTACTTGGAGGGCMAAAATAATTTTCAAAAACTCCAACTTGAGTTGTTTCTGTTGAGAAGATGTGGGATATCCTTCTTGTGTCTTCTGCCCCTTTACTGAACAGATTGTGTAAATATTCACATGCATTGGCTTTACAATACCCAGTGGCTTTCTTTGCACTCTACAAGGGTCAAAAAGCAAGTAAAGTTTTACCAGCTTGTGAAATAGGCAAAAGAAAACTAAAATTATKTGTTTCTTTTATTTTTGTATTAGCACATGCCAGACAGGGAAAATGATTCTGATGCTGCTGTAATGTGCTGACAAGTGAGACACGTATCTGCAAGAAAATCTAAAGTGAGTGAGGAATATTGACCTCTTGTACTGTGAGATAATGTTTTTTTTCTCCTCTAGAACCTGGTTATCCACAACTATTTTTTTGAAAGTTCTGGCAGGGGTGATGCTKCTTACCTGTCCATAGTTCCAAGCTTCTGGTTGAATATCTTTTTCCAGTCCCTGAAATATKATTCCACTGTCATTCAGAACATACTCCTGTCGCTCCTTTTCGTTAGCCATGTAGACATCATCATCTACAAGCAGAATGAGACATGAAGGCTGGAAGGAAATTGTTTTGCTGCAACTGAAAATCTCAAATGGAGGGCAGTTCTAGGGAACAGGTGAGACTGCCCATACATTCAGGCTTAGGACTCTCTGCTACCAGTCTAGAATAATTCAGAGATTGAGTAAAATCAGCATGCAATTCCTTTCAGGGGAAGTGACTGTGTWTCTGTCCCTTCAGCGAGCTCAGTATGGGTCTTATTTGTAGATGTTACTTGTTTTACAACTGACTGCAAGAATCAGAGGGAAGAAATGCTAGAATAAATATTTGGAATATTTCTTGCCTCTGATTTCTCATCTTACAAAATGATGTTTGGGTCTTTGATGCCTTGTAGGACTGAAGAAGGGATAAAACTCATTCCTTGATGCTGAGCAAAAACCACAACTTTCTGTAGCTGTGATAGTCAGGTACAGGCTTTATTGTGACAGCCAGATTTCCTGCCTGAGATAATGAGTTATTTGAAGGATGTGATACCTCAGAGCATACCTGGACACCAGGGATTGAAGAGTAGCACAAACTGGCCCAGGGCTTTGGAGAAGACCCTGTTCCCAGCAAGGACCTGCAGTTTGAGTTTGTATCGCCCGATGACGGCATCGGCTGGGCTGAGGATGGTGAAGTTCAGGCAGCGAGGCTCGCTGGGCTCYTGGGCTGCACTCCAGCCACTGGTACCCTCCTCAGAAAGGGTAAATGTGGCCTTGGTCTGCTGGGATTCTGCTGGAGATGGTCCTGCCAGAGAGAATGGATGGATGGGGGATGGTGGTTTATGGGAGGTAGAGGTGAATTGTGTTCAGGGAGCAGAATGAAGGTAACGTGAAGGATTTCAGGGATCCTTGGGAGCAGAGATACAGCCTGGCTTTTGGAATGAGGATGGCTCCTGCCTTTCTTTTAATTATTACCTKAACTATCTCTTGCCTTAAGGTATAGATCAAACTTTAAAATGGGAACTCCTATGCCTAAAAGGAGAATGAATCCTGAGYGAAACAGGGCAAAGCTTAATTTTTCAAGAATGGGCCATGTAGACCTGTAAGACACAAGTATTTTTGAGCTGGAAAAACCAGGGTTTGAGATGAGTGCCATGGAGAGWTTACCTGTGCTTGCAATAAAGGTGAAGTTGTCCCAGGATTGCACTGTTTTGAGGTTCAGAGAGATGCTGAAGGGCTGCCCTCTCCTCAAGATTACTTCYGAGCTGTTGTAATCAGAGGTGTGGTGTTCAGCTTTATTTAGTTTGGATTGCCAGTTGACTTTTCCTATTTTTAGGGCTAGGAAGACACAAGACATGTTAATTAAAAACATTTTCCTTCAGACCTTCACACCTTTTCATTGTGTCTAATGTACTAATTTTATTGTATTTATATATAGTTGGCATTGTGTGCTGTTGGAAAAAAGAAAAATCCATGGTTATTAAAAAGTCAAAAAAAAGCCAGGAGGTTAGATGAACAGCAAAAATATCTTTTCTGTAGGGTTCTTTCAGAACGAGCGAAAACATCCAAAAATTCAAAATTCAGAGAATTAATCTTTGATTTAAACAAAAAAAAAATCAAAATATTTTGAATTTAGATAAGACTTTGTTGAAATCTGAAGTAACTGCTCCATTCCTCATGTTTGTGCTCTTTTTCTGTGGTGATATCTTGTTCCCATAACGTTTTGCAGATTTGCAGAAAGCAATATTGAAACTCATCATCAAGTGCAAGGCTGATTCTGGAAACCCTGCCTGACAGAYGATGACTAGAAGGTTAACTATCTTCAGTGTGGAACTTGCTTGTTATCTTCTCACGTATCTTGTATCTCAATTAATTTACAGTCTTGTAGCTTGAAGCTGRGTGTTATTTCACCCTCTGTTGGAAAATGATTACAAGCAGAGGAGTGGCATATCTCGAGGCAGTGCTATGGGTTGCTCTATTGTATCATGATAGGTTGCCCAATGTCGAAAATGGGGCACTGAAGCTCAGATTACAAAAGCTTCAAACTTTCTCTTTCCTTGATAAATTAAAAAACCTCCACAACAACAACAAAGAAAAACAAAGCAGAAAAAATAGATTCCCTATGAAAACAGGTGTTTGGAAAGTGCCCTTTCCCAGTGTGATATTCCAAAGGAGTTTTAGGTGAAGAAAACTTCCTGTTCTGACTTGAGCTGTACAGAGTAATGGTGCTGTAAACAACATTTCCATCATTTCACTGAACCAAGAAAGAGGCTCGTATGTGACAGAATCCATAGGGTTCTACTTTTATGATAGAGAGGGTGAGATTTGAGTTTTCTGCTGCATTTGCAGCATGGAATTATATTCTGTGAAGTCTTAATGAAGGCATAATTGTACTCAGTTTTCAGCTTTTTGGAAGAAATGTGCATTTTCAAGGCTGMAGTAAAGGCCTGGAGCAGGTGACTTTCCTGTCTGTGAGAATAAGCATGTGTGAGTGTTTTTAGTTAAGGGTCTTGCTTCAGATGTGTCACCTGGAGACAAAAATTCCGTTGGTGGAATGTGTGATGTTTGARTCACGTGGTGTAAAATGCCTCGAAAGCGTCTCGCTTGCATCATCACTTCATTTTCCTGCCTTAAACACGTTTAATTGAAAGGGACCTACAGAAAGAATCATTCCTAATATCAAGTCCTCTAATTTAAGAGTGACTTAGAAGGTGTTTCTGAAGGGCACTTGGGGTCAGGGTTTGGGAAGGAGTTTGTTTGCCTTGCTGCACTTTATCCATGTTTATCCTGAATGCCCAGGGAGCCCCACGTGCTGGGAGCTGTGCAGGGATGCAGGAAACTCAGAGCATTTTGCCCATCTGCAAATAAAAATGTCATGCATAGAGGATTTAATGGCAACCAGCCATGGGCTTGATATTAATCAGACTCTGATGTTTAAGGACCTAAACAATTCTGCTGAAAACTTTCAGAGTGGAATTTCACAGGCAAACATAACAATGTCCAACAGARGAAGAGGAGAATAGTCAAAGAAGGAAAGATAAAGAAGGCAGTGAACAGCATTGGGTTGCTCTAACAATTTGCTGCATTWATAGTTGGATTTGCCTTGCAAAGTTCAGGGTTACACAGGCATTTCTAGAGAATATGTGCAGGAGATCAGAAAAAATAAAGTTCTATATATGGGGCAAGAACACTGTAAAGCTTGATGCCAGTCTTTTGTCCATGTGAACCTCAAATTTATCCTTGTTTTGATCTTCACAGTTTCAATTTTTTTTTTTTTTTTTTTTTTTTTTTTTTTTTTTTTTTTTTTTTTTTTTTTTTACTTCTTTCAGTGTTTGTTAGGAAAACTTATTTTCTCTAATTCTGTCAGTGTGCAATTGGCCAAACTTCTAAAAATTCTTTGCGATGTCTACCCTGCAATGGACAGAATTGGGAGCATGCTGAGAAGGAAAAGCCTGGTGGTCACTGCTGAAGATGCTGATCGTGGAGCACACAGGGTTCTCTTTGCCTTTTGATGAAAGTTGAAGCTGCCACAGGAAAACATCTCGAGGCTGAACTGCAGACAGAGTCTGTGTGTGTGTGTTCCATGACATATGTCTAACTAGAGATCTTTGCAGTCAGCATGAGGGTGAGGACAGAGAGTGCAATCCCACTCAGATAAGCAGCACCCGGGCTGACAGAGCCCCTCTTGGGAGTCCAGAGGCCACCCAGGGACCTTCTGAGGCCAGAATTCATTTGTTCTTAGAGCCTGAGATTTCCTTGCAGCAGTTTGATGCTCCAGTCAGTAGCCAACAGTGATTAAATGGCTGCAGAAGCACTGAATAGAGCAGTTAATTGATACCCTAGAAAAATATTTTCTTTCTCTACTTTTCTGCATTACTGGAAGAAAAATAGCTTCAAGAAGCATGATAATAAAAGAAAAAAGAAAATCAGATCTAGCAGAATAACCCGTAAATGCATTTAACCTAAAAAGGCTATGTTGCTGAGAGACAACTAGATGTAAATTTATATCGTTTCCTCAGCAAATATTGCTCATCTGGATTGGAAGAGTGATGTCTGGAGCCATCAGGTTGGATGAACTTACCCGCCATAAGGATTCTCTCTTCTTTTCCACACTTGTGCGTAGCTYAGGCTATGGTTACAAAAGTGTGCAAGAACATTCTAAGTCCTCTTCCACCAGCACCAGTAATGAAAGGCTCAGGACTGGACTTGGCTACATAGGCTGGAGTTTATACAAGCTGGGTGTGACCTGTGGTTGGTGGTTACTGTTTTTGTAGTGATATCCTACGTGAGCATCCACTGATGACTGCTTTAATTGCACAATCTTGAGGCCAATTATCCTTATGTAAAACTGGTGAATGACTGAGGAAAGATGGTAATCAGAATTCTGGTGTTTTAGAGAGGAAAGCATCCCAAACTTGATCTAATGAAGGAAATATTAACTTAAGTAGGGAGAAGCAACTTAATTTGGGATGTTTTGGGTTTGTGTCGGTTTAGGTTTTTGGGGACTGTGTGTATAGAGGGCGAGTAAAGACAAATATTCCCATTCTACAGCATGGCTGTGTGGGACATGGAGTGATCTAAGTAGGTTTATAATAATTACTGTAACTGTCAGTAGCTTTTTTCCCCACTTTTTCTTTCTTTATAAGACAGATCTGCCAGAAAATCTTCCAAATAACTGCATAAAATTCATTCTGTCTTTGCCACAACATTACTGTAATGCTTCCTTCTCATTACCTGGTTCTGATGTGGCCATCTATAATCTGCATTTCTTCTGTAAGAAGTGACACGTCCAGGGAGGGRGCATTGTTGTGTGGTCAGCTGTGATCAGGGACTTGTGTTAAGTAAAGAGAAGTGTTTAATGGCTGCCTCTGCTTCTGAAGTTTTTCTTTGTAGTCTGGTGTTCATCACACAAGGACACAGTTTCTCTGTAGCTGTTTGGCATGGCAAGTTTGGCTGGGCCCTGGAGGAAACKACAGAGCTGCTCTTCTGCTGTGAGCCCTGCCTGCTGTAATTACAGGCACTCTCTTCTCTGCTCCTGCAGCTCCCTCCTGCCCTCTCCTCCCTCATCCCGTGTCACAGTTTATCTAAAATCATGCTTGGCCAATTTGTCCCAAGAGTAGGTTGCAGACTGTCTGGACTTCCAGTGTGATGAGAGCAAGGGTGTCAGGAGAAGGGATGATCTCTTCTTTTYCTCACCTCCACATTCTGCATTGTGTCTCCAGTTCTGTTTTCTGGTTTGTTTCCACATTTGTGCCAAGATTGTCAGAAGCCAAAAAGGCAAATTAACTGCCTGAAGTTAAAAATTACTTTTTAAAAAGTAATCTAAAGGGTTTTTTAAAATGGTTTTTCCTCTGGGGTTTTTTTTCCATAAAAATCTGTGGTCATATCTGGATGCCTCAGACTCTGAAATATTATCACCTGTCAGAYGAAAATGCCCATATCCATAACTCCTGACAGCTCTGTGGTTCAGAATTTTTGGCTTATTAATTCTGCTTTAAACTTTTTGTAAGTCATACAGCAAATATAAATCTTCAGGCTTGGCAGAGCCATCTGCACACCACGATTGCCCCCAAACCCTGCTCTGAGGGTGGCTGGCAGCTCCTGTCACAGCGGTCCTGGAGAGGCTGCAGGAAAAGGGAATCCTTACAGCTGTTTGAAAGTGGATTTTAGGGGAGATCTGGTACCTGGAAATGTTTACACTGGGAACCACAAAAATGGGTTTTGTCTGCAGACACTGAGAGGTTTGGGGTCAGGGCTGCTCCTGAGTGAGACACACGGGGAAGGTTTGAAGACAAATGTGTTGCTTGTTTTCAGTGACYTTGTGCTGGTGGACAAAAAGAGTCACCCTGTGTTGCTGGGCTGCCACATTATTGCAAAACTCCCCCTGCTTTGTGGTGCCTGGGACTCTGTCATTCATAAGAATTAAGCTACTGTTTTGAATATGTGCATGTATTCTGCACTGTGTGACAGTCCCATGCCCCCAGGCTACAGAAATATTGCCATGGACCCCAAGCATTTCTGTTCCTCCCCATTCATGGGAATAGAGGTGTCACAAAACACAGAAATTGGGTGAACAATGGAGGAAATGTTCCACTCTTCTAGGTTAGTGGCTTGTGAAATGAAGAAAAAAGAACTTTTCCTGAGTCATGTGATTTCTCGTAATACTCCCATGGAATGTACAAATGCTTACAAAATTATACAGTTGAGAATGATTTTTATTTATTGCTGACAATTAGAATGTGGTTGTAAAGAGATTGTGTTTATTATCTGAGGGAGAAGTTAAAACTGGGAGATTAACAGAATGAGATTTGAAAACAGTGAAACTATTTCTACAAAGAAGGGGCTTACTTTTTTCCTTTTGGGGCAGTGTGGGAGAAAGAAATACTATTAGAGACTGAATAAGTAAGCACCATGAAAGTAACCTTGATTCTATTGCAATGTAAGAGGTCACCAATTTTTGTGCAAAGTTCCTTTCCGTCATCACTGTTCCTATACAGAGGAGAGTGTCTTGCTGTGTTAATGCTGAAATGTGATGCCATCACATTATGCACGGGCTACTGCAATTGTTACAAATCCCTTAACATGTGAAAATTTGTCACAAGAGAAGTCTACTTGCAGCTGTAAGGGCCCAGCCCTCCGAGGTGTGAATTCGAAGAAAATTTTTGATCTCTCCCTTGGTGCCAGTCGTGCCAAAAAAAAAAAAAAAAAAAAAAAGAACAGAAGAAGAAAAAAATAATTTAGTTCAGGTTTGCATTGTCTTTTATGAGATTCCCAAGAAATAGAACTGCGGATATCTAGAGCCTCGATAGTTACTTGAGACCCAGCTTTGGATTTTGAGAATTACTTAAGGTTTGAGGCTTTGTGTAGACTAAGAAATGAGAAAGGACAGTACCATCTTCCTTTATTCCTAAATGGACTTATGGAAAAGAGAGGTGCTATGTCACAGCTCCATCTTAGGGCTGGATGCAAATTTGGATATCAACACAAACTCAGAATAGGAAAACTGATGTCAAAGGTCAGTGCTCTGTCCAATGCCTGCTTGGTTCATATCCATTTTGGCAATAATTATTTTTCTAATTGCTATTGTGCTTTGGTTTGTATCTCCTTTTGGCCTAAATTAGTTTAGTCTTTTACTGGCATAATGTTTTCCTTGTTTTTATGGATTATTATGTCCAAAYATTTCCACAGCCAAAGCAAGTCAGGCTGTTTTACAATAAAAGAAGCTTTAGGAAATACAAACTCGACCCTGAGTTGCTCCATAAAGCATCAGAATCCAGAGGAAAATAACAAAAAAGTTGAACATTTTGGTTTTACGTTTTGAAAAGGCATGATTTTCTCCTGCTTTAGAGAAGAACAGAGCAACTTTTTGTTTGGGCTGAAAAAAGAGGAGTGTCTGACTTGTTTGCTTTAGTGTAGTTATCTTTGTAGTATCAGGGTATTGTATATGAAAATAAAAACAGAAAGCCAAACTGTAGAATGAACGGCAGAGAGACAAAASAATTTGACATGTGCATTTACCTTCCCAGGAAAGAAGAATGTTAGCAGGTCTGAGCTGTTCAATAAGTTCTATGTGGCAAAACCACCACATGATTAAGAAATCACATATCTATAAATATTGGGTGGCATTTTTGTTTTCAGAAATAGAAAATATGAAAGACAATTCAAGAGTCTTTTTGAGAAATGAAGAGAAATGAAGAGAAATGAAGAGAAATGAAGAGAAATGAAGAGAAACAGAGACATGCTGTTGGCCACGTTGGAAACACTGAGTAAATGCTGCAGCTTCCACTTACTTGATCTTGACCTGTTGGTTCATCAGAGTCACCAGCAGGACGCAGCGGCTCACGGGCTCGGGGAGGGGGTTGGCGTAGGAAATCTCCAGAGTCACAGCTCTGTTCACCACAACCCTGCGAGGGAGCTGAAGGACAAAACACATTCCTGGTCATTCACTGGTTTACACTTTCCTGGGGTCAGAGTTCAGTGGAGCTGCAAGTGGCATTCTGCTGACAAACAGTAGCTTTCCTAATGTYTGAAGCTGGATGTGGCTTAGTTAAATAGATGCTGTCAAGCTGTCTGCAATATTTCAGTGGAATAATTTCAGTGGAATAGAGCCCTGACTACACAGACACATCCCAGGTCTGATCTTCAGGTTTGCTGAGTGGCTTTTTTCTCTTTTGGCATGTCATTAATTAGGATTAAAGTGTTAATGTGAACTGGCTCTGCCAGTGGTAAGAATTAAGGGATTAAATCTGTATTTTGGGAGTAGGTAAAGATCTTTAAGGACAATATGAGCACTCGCTAATACATGGAATGAAAACAAGTTTGGTGGGACATAAAGGAGTGGCTTGTGACTGGGAAAGAAAGAAGRTAACAGCTGTTCTGAAAATTGGGGCAGATTCAGGTTAAGGTTCTGAACTGGCCTCTCACTTCCTTGCTTTTTCAATTTAAGCAGGCAGAATTTTGGAATAATCTCTGAAACAGCAGCCTAAAAGTAATTCATTTATCCCCAGATTCTCATCTTGAGATTTGAGCTCTAGAAAGATCTTTTAGTGTCTGTTTAGGACATCAGGGAGAAAATTATTCACCTTAATGATGATGTTTGTGTCCTCTAAAATGATTGTCTTCTCCACCAGCAGCTTCAGCCCATGCGAGCGCATGACTTCACACAAAGCAGTGACTTGGATCCTYTTGTCAGTAGTCAGGTATCTTCCATAATGACTGTAAGGGATCTTCACCCGGATGTGCTTCCCTGGAATTCAGACATACATTTAGGAAGCATTACCTCTTCAAAGGAAGCTAAGGAAAAGAGAATTATAGCGAGGGGTTTATTAATTGTTGAAGAGAAAAAAAGATAAGGCAGCTGGAATCTGTTTATATTTYCTTCTTGTGAGGCTGTCTGTGTATTTCCCTCTTCTGGTGATCCTTTTCTACTTYAACACATTTGACCCTGATAGTTTAGAATAGAGGGTTTTGGCCTGAAACTGAGGGATTCTGCTCATCTGCATTTTGCTGGATTCTTGACCCTTGGTATTTCTTATAATTACAGGTTTAACCATTTTAATCTATTCCTTCCTTACATCCTTTTTATTTTACCTCAGWCAAGAAGAAAATTTGGGTCAAGTTTCACAGAGATCCTTTTCAAGTGACCTGRTCAGCTGCTCATTGTAGTSCTACAACTTTTCTGCTGTGTRTGGGAAAAATRTTTRTCKTTGTAGCCCCTGGGGATGAAAAARATCTCTAYAATAA